GTGTTCCCCTTTCCCCACATCCCCTCCAACATTTGGTATCATTTGTTTTCTTGATCTTAGCCAGTCTGACTGTGGTAAGGTGAAATCTTAAAGTGATTTTAATTTGCATTTCCATAATTATTAGTGATGTTGAACATCTTTTAAGATGCTTCATAGCCATCTTTACTTCTTTTGAAAACTCTGTTCAGCTCCTTAGCCTGTCTTTCAATTGGGTTGCTTCTTGTCTTGATTCTCTGTTTTTTGAGTTCATTATATATTCTGGATAGAAAACCTCTGTCAGATGTGTTGCTGGTGAAGATTTTCTCCCATTCTGTGGGTTTTCTGTTCGCTTCGCTGGTTGCCTCCTTTGATATGCAGAAGCTTTTTAGTTTAATGAGGTCCCATTTGTTAATTCTTGCCCTTGTTTCCTGAGCAGTTGATGTCCAGTTTAGAAAATCCTTTCTTACACCTATATCTTGTAGATTTTTCCCCATGTTTTCTTCTAACAGTTTCAGGCTTTTCATTGAGGTCTTTGAGCCATTTAGAATTGACTTTTGTGCCAGGTGAAAGATAGGAGTTTAGTTTCATTCTTCTACAAGTGGAGGTCCAGTTTTGCCAGCACCATTTGCTGAACATGCTGTCTTTCCTCCAGTGAATATTCTTGGCCCCTTTGTCAAATATCAGGTGGCTGAAATTGCAATTACTCATATTTGGGTCTTCAATTTTGTTCCATTGATCTATGGGTCTATTTTTGTGCCAGTACCATGTTGTTTTTATGACTATACCTCTGTAATACAGGTTAAAATCTGGTATAGTAATCCCCCAAGCATTACTCTTAGTGTTCAGGATTGCTTTGGCTATCCGAGGTCTTTTGTGCTTCCATATGAATCTTAGGACAGTTTTTTCCAATTCTGTGAAAAATGTCATGGGGATTTTGATTGGCATTGCATTGAATCTATAAATGACTTTTGGTAGGATGGTCATTTTCACAATATTAATTCTTCTAATCCGTGAGCATGGGCCATCCTTCCATCTTCTGATGTCTTCCTCAGTCTCTTTCTTTAAAGATTTAAAATTTTCTTTGTAGAGCTCTTTAATGTCTTTGGTCAGGTTTAGTCTGAGATATTTTATTTTTTTGCAGCTATGGTGAAGGGGAGTATTCCCATGTGCTCTTTCTCTGATTGCTTCTTATTGGTATATAGAAAGGCTACAGACTTTTGTAGGTTAATTTTAAAACCTGCCACTGTACTGAAAG